ATCTAACTATCTATCTGTCTATCTATATATCTTTCTATCCATCTATCTCTCTTGCCTTACTGCCATCACCTTATCATAGAATTCTGGTAAGTTTGTGACACAGGATTTTCCTCCCCTGAAACCGCGCTGGTTGTCGTGAATAATCTCATTCCTTTCTAGGTGCTCCACCATTCTTCTGATAATCTTCTCCACGACTTTGCATACTATACATGTCAGTGACACTGGTCTGTAGTTTAGTGCTGCGTGTCTGTCTCCTTTCTTAAAAATTTGGACTACATTTGCTGTCTTCCACACCTCAGGTAGTGGCTCAGTTTCGATAGATGTGTTGAAGACTGTTGTTAGTGGTACACAGAGCACCTGTGCTCCCTCTCTCAGGACTCACAGAGAGATGTTGTCCGGCCCCATCGCCTTTGAGGTATCTAGTTCACTTAGCAGCTTCTTCATCTTCTCGGTTGTATGTATTGTGTCCAGCAGTTGATGGTGTACCCCCACCACTCCGGCTCTCTGGGGTCCTTTCTGTCTCCACGGTAAATACTTCTTTAAATTTCTTGTTGAGCTCTTCACATACTTCTCAGTTGTTTTTTGTGATCTCCCCTCCTTCCTTCCTCAGCCTGATTACTTGGTCTTTGACTGTTGTTTTACTCCTGATGTGACCGTACAACAGCTGCGGGTCAGACTTGGCTTTCGATGCTGTGTCATTTTCGTAGTGGCTCTTTGACTAATCTCTATTTTCCTTGGTCCTTTGTATTTTATGTCTTCCATTCTCTAACGCACTTTGTTTTGGCCTCTCTACACCTTTGGGTAAACCAAGGGCTCGTCCTGGCCTTCTCATTATTTCTGTTGCCCTTGGGTACAAACCTCTCCTCTACTTCCTTGCATATTGTCGTCACAGTCCATAATATCATTTACTGATTTTTCTGCCAATTCTCTTTCCCTCTAACCTCCTGTAGGAAGTTCCTCATGCCTGTGTAGTCACCTCTTTTGTAGTTTGGCTTCATTCGTCTTGCTCTTCCTGCTTCCCTCTCCACTTATTACTCTACAATGTATTCAAAGCTCAGGACCATGCAGGGGCCTTTCGTATGTGATGTCCTCAATATCTGAACTATTCCAAGTGAATACAAGGTCCAGCCTTGCTGGATCGTCCTCTCCTCTCTCTCTGGTAGTGTCCCTAACGTGTTGATGCCTGAGGTTTTTCAGTACCACCTCCATCATCTTAGCCCTCCACGTTTCTGGCTCCCTATGTGGCCCAGGTTTTCCCCAGTCAGTTTCCTTGTGTTTGAAGTCACCCATATCCAGTAGCTTTGCACTGCCCTGCTTTTCTTGCCACTTCAGCCAGTGTATCGACCATGTCTCTGTTACTCTCATCATATTCTTGTCTTGGTCTCCTGCTATTCTGTGGGGGGTTATACAACACTGTAATGACCACCTTGGGACCTCCAGTCTGAAGTGTTCATATTATGTACTCCCTTGCTTCTCCTCTGTCTCCCCTTGCCATCACAAAATTCCATTGCTTTTTAACGAGCAGTGCAACTCTTCCACCCCTTCTATTCCCTATGTCTTTCCTCAAGATCTGATATCCAGTTGGAAATATGGCATCTCCTATCATTCCTGTGAGCTTGGTTTCTGTGAGAGCTATGATGTCTGGTAATGCCTCTGTGATTCTTTGGTGCCACTCGTCCCATTTATTCATTATTCCATTAGCACTGGTGTACCAATCCTTCAGTTCTCTCTCCAACACTGTATTCAGGGGGTTTGTGGGGGCTGGGGGAGAGTGGGAGACCTGGCAGGGTGCTGTGGGATTCTACTGTATAGAGTGGGGTGGGGGCTCTGAGTGTGGAATGTGGTTTGTGATAACATGATTAGTTGCAGGGTTCTGTGGCTGTTTGCGCTTATTGCTCCACTTGCCTCTGGTTGTACTCTGCTGACTCTAGCCTTATCTCTTTTTCTTGCTCCTTTTGTCTTTGAGTCCTTTCTCAGCTTCTGTTGTTCTTTTTTCATTCTGCCGCGATCTAGGAACACCCTCCAGTGTGGTTTCTGCTGCAGGATCCTGTTCCACATCGTTTCTGTCTTGACTGGCATATTTCTCTCCCTTGAGTATCCCCCTATTCTCTGAAAATTTATCAGCTCAGTCATGTTCTCCTCTCCTGTTTGATGATATTTTTTAAAATCTTTTTTTTTTCCTCTCAGCCGTTTTTCATCGTATGTCCAACCTTCGCTGTCCTGAAGCCCATGTGTGAAGACTGATCTCTCCCTCTGTGCCTCCCATTGCTTTTCCCTCCGTATCTCTGGGTCCCATTTATACATAGCCATTACCTCCCTTATTATTTCCTGTAACTCCTAGTGGAGTGTGTGTGCGTGTGTGTGTGTGTGTGTGTGTGTGTGTTGTGTGTGTGTGTGTGTGTGTGTGTGTGTGTGTGTGTGTGTGTGTGTGTGTGTGTGTGTAGTATAGGTAGAGGGGGGGTTGAAGAGGGGGTAGGATAGTTTTAAAAAGGAAGTGTTAGAATGCGGGGCAGAAGTTTGTGGCTATAGGAGGGTGTGTGCAAGAGGAGAGAGGAGTGATTGGTAAAGGGTGTGATAAAAGAGAAAGTGGTTGCATATGAGAGGTTTTCGCAAAGCAGAAGTGACATAAGAAGGGCGGAGTATATGGAGGGCAAAAGAAAGGTGAACAGAGTAGTGAGAGAGTGCAAAAGGAGAGCAAATGATACAGTGGGTGAGGCACTGTCAACAAATTTTGTTGAGAATAAGAAAAATTTTTGGAGTGAGATAAACAGGTTAAGAGAGCCTAGGGAACGAATAGATTTGTCAGTTAAAAACAGAGTAGGGGAGTTAGTAGATGGGGAGCTGGAGGTATTGGGTAGATGGCAGGAATATTTTGAGGAACTTTTAAATGTCGATGAAGAGAGGGAGGCAGTAATTTCATCAACTGGCCAGGGAGGTATAACATCTTTTAGGAGTGAAGAAGAGCAGGATGTGAGTGTGGGGGAGGTGCGTGAGGCATTACATAGAATGAAAGGGGGTAAAGCAGCTCCCCAACACTCACTTCCTGCTCGTCTTCACTCCTAAAAGATGTTATACCTCCCTGGCCAGTGCACGAAATTACCACCTACCTTTCATCATCGACATTTAAAAGTTCTTCAAAATATTCCCGCCATCTACCCAATACCTCCAGCTCCCCATCTACTAACTCCCCTACTCTGTTTTTAACTGACGAATCCATTCGTTCTCTAGGCTTTCTTAACTTGTTTATCTCACTCCAATTTTTTTTCTTATTTTCCTCAAAATTTCTTGACAGTGCCTCTCCCACTCTATCATCTGCTCTCCTTTTGCACTCTCTCACCACTCTCTTCACCTTTCTTTTACTCTCCATATACTCTGTTCTTCTTATAACACTTCTGCTTTGTACAAGCCATTCATAAGCTTCCTTTTTCTCTTTTATCACACCCTATACTTCATCATTCCGCCAATCTCTCCTCTTTCCTCCTGCAACCACTGTACTATAGCCACAGACTTCTGCCCCACATTCTAATAATGCATTTTTAAAACTATTCCATCCCTCTTCAACCCCCTCCCCTCCACTACTCACATTTGCACTAGCCCACCTTTCTGTCAATAGTTGCCTATATCTCACTTTAACTTCTTCTTCCCTTAGTTTATACACTTTCACTTCTCTCTTGCTGTTGCCATTTTCCTTTTGTCGAATCTACCTCTTTCTCTAATTGTAGCTACAATTAAATAATGATCCGATATATCCGTCACCCCTCTATAAACTTGTACATCCTGGAGCCTACCCATCAACCTTTTATCCACCAATACATAATTTAACAAACTACTTTCATTACGTGTTATGTCATACCTTGTATACTTATTTATTCTCTTGTTCATAAAATATGTATTATTTATTACCAAACCTCTTTCTACACATAGCTCAATTAAAGGCTTCCCATTTTCGTTTATGCGTGGCAACCCAAATTTACCTACTACTCCCTCCACATTATTTTTACCCACTTCAGCATTGAAATCCCCAACCACCATTACTCTCACACTTGGTTCAAAACTCCCCACGCACTCACACATTTCCCAAAATCTCTCTCTCTCCTCTACACCTCTCTCTTCTCCAGGTGCATAAACGCTTATTATAACCCACTTTTCACACCCAACCTTTATTTTACTCCACATAATCCTTGAATTTATACATTTATACTCCTTCTTTTCCTTTAACATTATTGCTACTCCTTCTTCAGCTCTAACTCTATTTGAAACCCCTGACCTGATCCCATTTATTCCTCTCCACTGAAACTCTCCCACCCCTTCATCTTTGTTTCACTTAAAGCCAGGACATTCAGCTTCTTCTCATTCATAACATCCACAATCATCTCTTTCTTATCATTTGCACAACATCCACGCACATTCAAACATCCCACTTTCACGGTTTTCTTCTTTTCTTTTTAGTAGGCTTTACGGGATAAGGGGTTACCAGCCCATTGTTCCCGGCATTTTAGTTGACTTTTACAACACGCATGACTTAGGGAGGAAAGATTCTTATTCCACTTTCCCATGGATATAAAAAGGAAAAGTAATAAGAACAAGAATTATTAAGATAAAATCAAAGAAAACTCAGACGAGTGTGTATAAATAAACATGTACACGTATGTGTAGTGTGACCTAAGTGTAAGTAGAAGTAGTAAGACGTACCTGAAATCTTGCATATTTATGAGACAGAAAAAAAGACACCAGCAATCCTACCATCATGTAAAACAAATACAGGCTTCCTTTTTACACTCACTTGGAGACGGTAGTACCTCCTGGGCGTTGCTGTTTATATATATATATATATATATATATATATATATATATATATAATATATATAATATATATTATAAACGGGATGAGGATCGAGCTTGCACCACTCGTAGCGCTGTATGAACCCATACAGGATTAGCATTTCACATGATTGTAATAAGTATCAGTCACACGCTCTAACCATGCCTTCTCTTCACAGCGACAAGTGCCTCAATCAGTACAAGATGCAGATATTCTGTCGGGAGACCGAAGCTCACCTCCAGATGCACCCTCACCTCAACGACCTCAAGCCGGCCTCCAACAGCGGTCTCATCACTCCGGACCTGTGGCTGAGAGACTGTGGAGGTGCTGGAGGACAGAGTAACGAAGTGGTAAGGCCAATCTTGTCGTCTTGATAACTTTCCATGCATCACATATCCTTCCCGAGGAGTTAACATCATACCCATCCTGTGAGTATTGGTTGCACAATGCCCATCCTGTGAGTGGTAGTCACACTTTACCCATCCTGCAGGTGGTAGACGAAAGATTACCAGTCCAAGAACTGGGTCCAAGAACTTGGCAGCAAAGATATAATCATAAAACAAATAACTATGATAAAAGCTTTAATTAACTATGGACAAAGTTAGCCAAGATTTATTATACTTTGTGTTATGAATAATATATTAGCACTTTTTATCACTCTGAAACAGTGAGTGGCGCAAGAAGCCAACATGTGTGTGTCACTGATATCAGGATTTATCCATTTAAATCCTCCTTGAAACGTAAAAAATCAATCTTCAGTATGTGTCACCAAATATTCACTAACGAAAATGAAGCTAACCGATATTTCAGTCCCTCCATAAAAGGCCCTAAAATATGGACCTCTCTGTCTGAAGATTCCAAATGTTTCCTATATTCCAACTGCGTCAAAGCACCTCCTTACCTTCTTGACAGTAATGCCCTATGTCAAACAAACAATGAAATCTGCAGTTTTTATCCAATTCTGTCCCTGTTCTTCTTCCAGCTTTCATTCAACTCGTCTATATTACTGAATGCATATAGTATCTTATCTTTTTTGTATTGTAATTCAAGTAACTAGTACCACTCACCATGCTATACTTCTTATTGTGATTTTAATTATTAATTAATTGAGTAAATTGTTAAGTATAGTATTGGCTAGGTTTTACCCAAATTGCTGTGCATTATTTGGGGGCCACAACTCTACGTGTCTTTATAGCCACTTTTGAAATATGCGTCCTCATACTCTTATTTCATATAAAACTCCATTGTGGTGCATAAGGTTAATTTTCTTCAGAACATTATATCTGGTTAGATGTTCATTCGTCCTGTAGCCACATTATCTCTCAGAGCTGGTAGTGATAAAGGTGAGTACTAGCGACGTATGAGTCTCTTGAAAAAGTACAATACCATGACTGGAATAATATAAAAATAACCTCACATAGGAGAAAGAAGCATACGATGACATTTCGGTCTGACTTTGACCATTTACACAGTCACAGTAACACAAAAGAGGGAGACAAGGATGGGGCGAAGAGAGGAAGAAAAAGTAGTGGTAATGCTGGTAGTGGCAGTAATAGTAGAAGTAGAAAGTAAGGAGATAAGTTACAGTAGCACAAGAGATAGTATGGGTCTCTTGGTTTCCTAAGATAAATGAGACATATGGCTAATTTTTACAGGATAATAGGACCACTAATGGATTGATTATTGTCAGTCTCGCTGTCTCAGATCTATTAAAGCTTACTGGAGTGCTTGGGTGTTGTATTCCTCACACTGCTTGTAGAGAGCCTAGTCTACTTGCCCCTACACATGGGGTAGAAGAAAACAGAAGTAAAAGGAGGATAAACAGGCCAATATTGTGATGTAGATGGGAGAAACCAGTAGAGAGAGAACAAGCCAATAACTGAGTGTGTAAGAAAGACAACCTATGCAACATCAGTGCAAAAAAAACAAAAGTCAACTAGACTATGAACAGGGAGCAAGTGGTATAATATTAATTAATATATTTGGACATATTATTGAGAGAAAAGTTCATTAAACATATCAAAAGTGCTTATACTATTTTCAAGCACATCCCTGGTTCAACATCTCTTCACATGCAACATAGTATCTTCATAAAAATAGTAATAATAATAGTAACTATTATTATTATTTTTATGGGACAAATCATGCTTGATTCAGGGAAGGGCTAGGTAGCTCCTATTCTCGGATCGAGAGCCCATCACCAGTCCTAAACTAATCTGTTGTTTGATCCGCAGGACTCATTGCCGGAGGGCGAAGTCAAAGTGGACTCTCCACAGTCTCCGCCAGCCCCAGCCACACCCCCACCGCCCTCACCAGACCCAGCAGAACCTGTGAACCTGACTACTACCCAGTCCTCTGCCAGGAGTGAGGCACGAGCCTCACCATCCCTCACTAGGGGGTCACCAGTCACAGTCCGTCAGGTTTTATCACGATCGGCAGAAACCAAAAGTCCAGGTCCGCTGCCTCATACGCCCCGCTATGGTCGCCCTCGACTCCGAGATCGTCGGGAAGGAATACGGGAGCTGGGGAGACCCCGAACAGTCCGAGCATCACTCCAGCTCGCTCGCGGCCTGCATTCTGATGCCGACAAGACCGATGAACCACTTCGGATGCCAACCATTCGTGTGAGGCAGCTAGAATCTCAGCAACAACAGGATATGACCCCCGGCGAGAGGGAGCTGGCCAGCAGCAATGAGGTGGGTGCTGAGAACAACAGAGCTGCCTCTCCTCACCCATCAGTTCAGCCTCCAAGTCTGCCACTAGGTGGGCTGGGCAGTCTCCTGCCCATGGTAGGTGGGGCACAGCTTCTCCTCCCCCATATGCTTCCCCATGATCTTCCCCGGACACCTCTGCTGCCCCACCTACTGCTTCAACGTCCTGAGTTGTTGCGTCCACCACCACTGCGGCACCCACTGCTGCACGGCCCTCCTGCACCAGCACCACCCACGCCTGCACCACCCACATCTCTCCCTCCACCACCACCAGGCCCACCCAAAACACCTGGATCATTATTACCTCCTGTAACTGTTCTTCTGCCCTGCCCTCTGCCCATCCCAATCCCCATCCCTATTCCAGTCCCCATTCCCATCCCATTCATTCCCCGCAATGACACACCTGAGGCTCGCCAACCTCCGCAGAAAGAGATGTCGGGGAGACAACGGACGACTCCACGTAAAGAAGCCTGTCGTACTGGATCAGTGATCAATGGTCCCATGGCTGCTGCAACCAGTTCAGGACCAGCACCTCAGCCTTGTCCAATTCCTGTAGCACCACCGCCACCACCCACATCCTCTTCCTCCAGCGATGGTGAGAGAAGCACGCATCCAAGACCAGACAGAGAACGTCGAAGCATTTTGCGATACACGTCTGATGTTTACGAAATCAATGGTATGTTCGTCCCTCGGGATTCCACATGGGATTCGCCTGAACCACTACACCTGCGTCGTGCCCTTGTTGGAGACACTAGTCAAGAGTCCACTTACAGCCACCACCATGAGTTTGACTCCCGTGATATATCTCGAAGTCCCTCTCCTGACCTTGGTGAAGACAACAAGGATGCCCTGGCCAACCTAACGAAGAAAAGAGAAGAGGAAACAAGTACCGTCAAGAGGTTGCTCGGAGACGATGATGAAGAGGAGGAAGAGAGCAAGTCAGTAGAAGTTTCAGAGACAGAGAGTTCCCCAGCCTCCACAGCCACTACCACAACAAAAGCTACCAGGAAGCGCCATACTGCTGGGGACCACCCTCAACCTCTGCCTAAGAAAAAACACCTGTTAGTGTGACCCCGGCCAGTTCATCAAGCATCAGTGGGCTAAACATCTACGCACAACTGAAGTACATAAGTAGCATGACAAAGAAGACAAGTGACCATGACAAACAAATAATTTAAGCTCCTGAGGTTCACTTGGTACTACTGGGTGAAGCATTGTGACTTGATACATTAGGGACTGTTTAACAAACCTTAATTATTGACAGGAACACTTGAAGATTCAACTTATTTTGAATGATCATATATGATCTTGCACTGAATGACCCAGAAAGGTTTAGCACTTACCATAAATAATAATAATAATAATAATGATAATAATAATAATAATAATAATACAAAAATTCTTTAGGATACCTGTAAGGGTATCAACCAATTAATTAGGAAACACTACTATGTAGTGAGCCTTTGTTTTTCTGTTGGTGTGTGGTGCCTAGCTGGGGTAAACCAGTGGATGGCTCACCACTGAACAAGTCATCTTATTAAGACCCGTGTAAGGAAACACTGTTTCCTTAAAAATCATTCTTCATTAGTAGCCTTAGTGAATTGTGTCAATATTATAATAACTTTTATAGCATATAATTCACATTAATTTATCCACATGCTGAAAAATTCAAATGTCTCATTTTGCTGTTGTTATTCTTGCTAAATAACATAGTGGAGTTGGTTTACTTGTAAGGAAAAACCGTTTCCTTACAAGTAAACCAACTCCACTATGTTATTTAGCAAGAATAACAACAGCAAAATGAGACATTTGAATTTTTCAGCATGTGGATAAATTAATGTGAATTATATGCTATAAAAGTTATTATAATATTGACACAATTCACTAAGGCTACTAATGAAGAATGATTTTTTTTAATTTAACGCAAAATTTTAATAGTATCATCCAGGTAAATAAAAGTGGCTGGCATAACAAAGTAGATATGGTCACCTTTAATTGATATTTTATGATCAGCTGTAACTGTGTTCCAATAAAACAGCTGTTACAGTCCCCTAGCAATGCTTTTTGGCTTCAGTCAAAATATATCTCTCGTGTGGTTTGTCTTCATCAGTATATTTGTTAAATCTATACAGTGTTGTAGCGTGTCACTGCACAATGGTGTCACTAAATGGTGTCACTGATAGTGTCACTGACGGTGTCACTAGTGCATTTTGCTTTGTATGATAAGCTTCTATGTATAATTGTACAACGACTTCACAGATGTGACTGTATATACAGTGATATATTCATATTATGTTATAAATGTTTGATGTTAATGGTACATATATACATGTTTGTATATGTAACCACATTTATCTTTTTCACAAACATTTGTAGCAAGCTCTCTTCATCTCTTGCTGTTCCTAAGAGATCTAGTCATAGGGGCTGGTTCACAGTACTTGTAAGCATGGTCTGGTGTCAAGGGATCCCTGTAGGTATTCACTAAAGGTTGTAAATACTGATATGTGTTACAAGGAGCCCAGATAAGCAAACTTCATTCCAGAGATAAATGAATGAAATCCATGGGAGATAATTTATGAAAATTTTCCTGAAGATTTATACTCCACAAAAACAGCCATTTTCACCATTTATTTATAATAATCGATGTTAATAATATTTGTCTTTCAACTGTGCAACCAGGTTTTATTATTTGTATCAATGTTAACTATCAGCACATAAACGTTATAGACCCTAATAAACATAAAATATAATAAATTAAGACATAGCAGTCTTTCTGGTAAAATCAAATTAATTATAACAGATGTTCATTTTACTAATATACATATTGTAAATTTAAGTAATATTTATTAATACAGAGAATTGTTAGTACAATATATGTATTTGCAGTCATTTCTTTATACAGCAACAAAAAAAAAAAATTGTGGAACAGGGCCCAGAGACACGAATACAAAATATATATAATGCCAAATTTATTTAAGTAAGATACTTAACAAATTTAATGAGTTCAGGGTAATCTATTTTTCTAACAATTACGGCTGCATTGAAACTAAACAGGTTAAATTGTGAACATAAAAATATATACATAAATAAATGAGGAAATATTAAAGAATGCTCACCAAAATTTTGAAGAAGAAATCAGTGTAGCAGGACCTTCCCGCCACTCCGTCGACACCTCCGATGTATAAACCACAACTATGCTTTAGTGATGTTGTAATGTGTATTCCAGTCCCACATTGTCCAGGTAGCAGCAACTCTGTAATAATAAACATACATCTAAGATGAGTGCGTTTATCTGGCATCTCCTCTTTCCCCTACCTCCCTGGGCCACCTCCACTAATATTGGCAAAGTTCTGTGAAATGAAACAGTCTTCAATTTCATGACTCCTGATACAAGAAAGGGAGCTGTTATCTCGCTCCTTAGATCGAACATGATTATCGCCCATTCCCTTGATGCAGTATGGTCCTTACAAGTTGACCGATTCTTACGAATAATAATTATTTGATCAATCAGAAATAAACCAAATGAAGAGTCACCCTTTACACAGATCGAGTAAACTATCCAAATTATGTTGTGTTAACCATGTTTAACACAAACACCTCATTATAATCCACCAAACATAGTCATGCCACAGAATATTTCTCACCTTCCATTCCAGTTTGCTCACAACCTTTTTCAATGCTCTATCCTCCCCGTTCTTTCCCCTCCCATAAGTTGATATTTTTTTTACAGAGACAGAGACAGAGACCCTATCTTGATCTTAAGACTGGCCTCGAGGCCACAGTTTAGGATCTTGATCCCGGCCTCAGAAACCCTGGTCTTCGTATCAGGAAGTTGTGTCTTGGTCATGATAGCAGTCAGCGTACAGATCTGTTGTTCATGAGAATTCTCAGGATTATTATGTTTCCTTGATTACATTTTTCGTAACACATTCACACTTTTACACAACAGTAGCATTCTGAATATATACAAATTACAATAGTGTTGCAATTAACTTCAGCAATACATACAGCAGGCAGTATCAGTTGCCATCCTTGTCACTGGTAAAAGTTAGTGATATTTACTTACCAAATTTTGCCTATGGCTGTTGCTTGTTGGTATGCAGATGTGTGGAGAGGGTTGGAACCCTGTACAGTACCTGTATAATGCATTTATGTGAATGGTAAATAGTTTATAGAAAGTGGGAAGGGTCTTTATACTACCCTTTGACCCCTCAAAGGAGGTTCCTTAACACTGGCAAGGGGCTTTTGATCTAGGGAATTGGATCTGTGCTTCAGTTCCCTGAATTAAGCCTGAATACCTTCCACAGGCGCTGTATAATCCTACGGGCTTAGCGCTTCCCCTGATTATAATAATAATATACTTCCCGTTTCACTCTGTGATGTATTCACCTCAGCGCCACCTGTAAACCAAACGTCAAGTTTCGAATGTGATGTACCTGGTGATGTGGTAATACGACCTATTTTCGTTTACTTAATCATCAGACAATGGGTCTGCCTTCATCCTGTACATTGTTCTGAATGATGTCCATAAACAGCTCAGTCTTTTGTAGTGTAGGTTTGAATTCTCTTTGGTGTTATTAATATTGTGAATGGTTACCGCTTGCTATTTTACTCTTAAACTGAGGTAAGCTTTAACATCTAATTGTTTTGTCAGTCACCCAATGTCAAAATTGTATTACTCTTTGCTAATGCTGATGGATGTGTCTATAAGATACCTTGTAAAATTTTGCGATTAAGTTTATGACGGTCAAAAACTTGGTAAAACTCGAAATAGATTAAAACAAATAAATATAGATTAGAATGGACAAGATTCCCGATGCTCTATTTATTCATGTAAGGAATTTTAACCATCCAAATGATTTACAAAAAAGTTGAGAAAGTAATATCAAGCAAGACATGGTCGACAAGGGAATATAATTGAATCTTGTTTGCCCCCCCACCCCTTTCATAAAAAATCAGTTTTGGCAATAATATGAATATTTCCTTTGGTTTTACTAAATTAGTCATTTATAATTAATTGAATTGGGAAGTAATTTAATAATTTACACTGACAAAATAATAATTTTTAACATTTTCTTGGGTAGAATAGTTGTGGGGAGTTGTGCAAAGGGACCCTAATCCAGGGGGTTGGGTCGGCGGCGTCAGGGTGTTTTAACCGTTGTGGGATTGATAGTCGAGGTGTTGGCCAGACCCCTTATATAGCTTCCATTGGATGCTTTACTTTCATAGTTTCCTTGATAATGTGTGTATAGTCATGAAAGCGCCTTGGAATTTACTCTTTCTTTCAGAGTGTTGTTTTGCAATATTATACTATATATATATCGCAGCACTATATATATATTTATGATATATATATATATATATATACTATTTCTATATTGTATTATTATATTATATTATAAATATCTATTATTATTATGATTTTTATCACACTCGGCCGATTCCCACCAAGGAAGCGGTGGCCCGAAAAAAAGAAAAACTTTCCCCCCACCCCCCAACCATCATTTCACTCCATCACTTGTCTTGCAGAAAGGTCGCTTTACACCTACCATTTTTAAACTGTGCAACATGAACAACCCTTCTTCAGAGTGCAAGCCACTGTACCTTCCCATTCCGGGATCAAGTCCGGCCTGCGCGTTTCCCTGATTCCACCTTCATTAACTGTTACTTTGCTCACACCCAACAGCCACGTCAAGTATTAAAAACCATTTGTCTCATTCATCTATCAAACATGCTCACGCCATGCCTGCTGGAAGTCCAAGACCCTCGCACACAAAACCTCTTTACCCCCTCTCTCCAACCTTTCACTAGGCCGACCCCCTACCCGCTTCCTTCCACTACAGACTGATATACCACTCTTGAAGTCAGTCTGTTTCGCTCCATTCACTCTACATACATATATATATATTATATATATATATATATCATATATAATACTATATATATATATATATATATTATTTGATATCCATATATAGTATATATATAATATACATATACATACTATTTATCTAATACTTTATACATATAATATATATATATATATATATACTATATATATAATTTATATATCTTATATTTATATTTTATATATATTTATATTATATATATATATTATATATATATATATATATATATATACAGTGTTCCCATTTTCGTAGTTCTCGGCAATCCATAAATTTCGCCATATAGGGGTATTTCATACTAAACATGGGACTCGCTTTTCATAGGTTGATCAGGCGAATAGTAATTCGTCCAGACAGGGTAGCATGGTTGTGAGTCGGGGCGGCCCTCCTAACCAGCCAAGTCTGGCGCAATTGTTACCAGTGAGTGAAGGTCCCCAAGTGATCCTTACGGAAATTATTTCATAATTTCCACTACATTTTAGTGGCTTTGCAATTTCTAAATAAGGCGACCATGGCTCCAAGAAGCTCTAGTGCAAGCCTATGGTTTTAAAGAAGGTGAGGAAAAATATGAAACAGTGACAAAGTCTTGGGCCATTTTTACGGGACCGTGTTAAAGAGACGCCAGAAACAGAGCTCTCTCCACAGTTAAATTGCCAATGAAAAGGACAGGACTAGAGTGACTATCAAAGGTGGTCCTAGTGGCATTAAGAAACAGAGAAGAGAAGAACCCCAGAGTTAGAGTAGCAGTTGGTACTAGGTGTTGTGGAAGGG